GCCCGTGTACTACAACCACTTTATCCGACGGTGGTAGCCGGCGCGGCGCGGTAACCTGACGCCGTCTTCCGGCCGCGCGACGGCCGGCCCGTGCACTGCAACTATTTTATCCGAAGGTGGTAGCCGGTGCGGCGCGGTAATCGGATGCCGTCTTCCAGCCGCGCGATGGCCGGCCCGTGCACTACAATCACTTTATCCGACGGTGGTAGTCGGTGCGGCGCAGTAACCGGATGCCGTCACCGTCCGATCACGGTCGCCAGCAAAACATCGTGCGTCAGTGAAACACCTCACCATCAGCGGGGCGACGTCGCCGGAGCACGCCAGAAGAATGGTCGGTCTCCTGCAAACTGTCACCCCGTGACCACGCGCCACGCGGCCCCGTTATCACGGCCCCGTGAGCACGCGCCATCGGCGAGCCGTTATCAGGGAACTGTAGCTCGTCAGCGGACGTCACTACCAAACCGTATGTCTTTATTGACTAGCTAGACGCTGAGTCGCCATGTCTTTGTGTCAACGTTCAGCCCGGGTCTAAAATAAACGTCACGTCGACTGGACGGGCAGGCGTTTGACTGCCGGCTACACATTGTGAAGCGTTTCATTCCGAGCCTTCTCGACCGTCTCCACAGGCCAGAGGCATCATTCTGATAATGTCTGGTACGCCTGAAGCCAATTGGCCGATGAGAGTCGATGAACGCACTGGTCGAAACTCGACCCTGTTAGCCCTGCCATGTCCTCTTGTCTAAATTAAAGGCTCACAGTTTGTTTATGACAGCACAGTAACAGCCGCCAGCCGCTGAACGAACTCTAGCAGTTCTAAACGATGCCGACAGTATCGGCATACCACTTAACCGACTCAGCCACGCCTTGCATCACGGCAAGTGGCCACGGGTGCCTCACCGGCGCATCGGCCACCACAACACCGCGGCGCCGCTGGACCAGACACACGGTCTGCAACACGCGCCGGCCGGCACCTCTGTCCGCCTCGGCCGGCCAGAGTGCCCGACCCACCTCCGATGATGGTCCGGATCAGGGAGGCATGGCCGGGGCAGTCGACAAGCGTGAACTGGACGGTGCGCAGCGCGCTGCCGGGCGCTGACAGCCGCTCCGGCGTCGGCACGCTGAAGCTGCTGAAGCCCAGGTCGATGGTGATGCCGCGCTCCTGTGACTGCGGGTTCTTGTCGAAGCTGGCCGTGCTCGCCACCGAGCTGAGTGCGCGTGCCAGTGACGTCTTGCCACTGTCTATGTGGCCCAGCACACCCACGTTGAAGTTCAGAGTGCTCTCAGCCATGCTGGCTGGCCCTCACTGTGGTGACATGGCTGAAAGCATGTCCAGAGTCAACTTCATTTTCAATTTGTTATGAATAAAATGGGTGTGGCAGGACACAGCTATTGGAATGCTGATTTAAAAAAATAAAATATGCCTGCCCTGTTCAATGTAATATGTGTTTTTATGTGAGTGAAAAAC